GAGGAGGGGGAGGAGGAGGAGGAGGAGGAAACGTGCTCAACGACATGATCGAACACCAGGAACAGGTGCAACACCATGCGCTCCAGGCTGAAGAACATTCTCCAGGGAGCGGCGATCGGCACAGCTGAGCAGCAGGAGACCCGCCCCGAAATCCAGATCGACATGCAGAAAGAAACGACGTGGAGGGAACGAGACTCAATGCAAGAGATACGCACCGAGGCGGCGACCCAAGAGTATCACTCTGTCCAGCAAGCATCGGCACTAGCATGTTCAGGAGGAAGAGGAGAGCGCCCTCCGCCCTCCTCACCCCGCCACCCATCAGCAAAACGACACCAACCAACCACGTGCCGCCAAGCAATACGACAACACATGACATAACGATGCCGACTAAACTACGGTCGGCACCACTACACAAAACGACACCACCAAACGAGACGGCACCAACCATCACCGCGACACTAAACCAGCTCAACTGCACCAAACAAATAACATGTATCAGCCAGCACAACGGTGCCAACGCAGCAACATAACACCAACCAACAAATGGACGTTGAACCTGCAAAGTGTCACCAGCCGTCATAATGTCACCCAACGACAAAGCGGCACAGTCCGTTTTGGAGCACGCATTCCCTGCGACGGGCGGTCGGATTTTAGGACCTGTCCCTCTTCATCGCGATCTTCACCTTGCCCAGGTGTAGAGCCCATAGCATGGTGACAATCATTACACTCGTAGGCAGCGTTAGCCGAGAACAATTTCACAACCACCCACACTGGCACAGGATGGCCATGGACTTGCCTCCAGGCCGGCTGGCAACAGAGCGGCCTCCAGGCTAGACTCCGCTTCTGCTCACACTGCCCTGCTCAGTCTGCAGGCTGTGCGATGTGTGCGCATTTTTTCTCAGACCAGTGCTTTCATTTAGGGGCTCTTACTTGTAACTGGTTGTGTATTCCGGGTTTTCGCCTGGTGCCCGCCCGTGGGCGCGCGTGGGCGCCTCGTGGGCGCTTCGTGGGCGCCCCGCGCTTGGGGTGTATATCGAGGTTTCGCCTGGTGCCCGCCCGAGCGCGCCTCCTCGGCGCCCCGATAGCTTGCGCCACGTAGATTGCACCACGTAGATTGCAGATTCGAGCGTGCACCATATCTCCTGCACCACATAGCTCGCACTACATTGTTTGAGCCACATAAGCAGCCTGCACCACGTAGACTGCGCCAGGTAGGTTTCACCACGTAGCTTGTACTACACAGCTTGCACCACAGCTTGTACCACATGGCTTACATGACATAGCTTCCATCACGTAGCATGCACCACATAGATGGCACCACTCAGATTTCACCACGTAGATCGCACCACATAGCGTTCACCACGTAGCTTGCACTACGTAGCTTGAATCAGACTGTTGTACCATATCGTATATGGCCACAGGGCAAGCACTCGCTTTCTTGGGTCCGCGTTGGCTGACATTTTGATATGGACACAACTTGAAGTCCACCACTGCCTGGAGGCAGCCATGAAAGAACACCCGGCCTGGACGCCAGTCCGTTAGCAGCAGCCCTTGCTTGAAGGCCGGTACGTTGCGTAGCTGTAGTGGTAGTAGCAGTGGTATTGGTCGTCATAGTTGTCGCCGCATCAGTAGCGGTAGAAGGGCGGGCGAGAGGAGAAGGAGGAGGAGGAGGAGGAGGAGGAGGAGAATGATGATGAGGATGAGGATGAGGATGAGGAGGAGGAGGAGGAGGAGGAGGAAACGGGAATGGGAGATTTCTTTCAGCGTCCAGGGTACCGACTGGGCGACCTGTTGACCATGTTCAACACAATTCGTGCCGCAGGACTCTGCAACAAAGGTTTGCGCGCTGTTCGAGGTTCGCGTGGCGCACTCCCGTGTCATGCACAGGTGCACTACATTTCAGCAAGGGTGTTAGAAGCATTACGTTTGGGACGATGGTCTGGGTCTTTTGCGGCATCTCGGCGTGCAGAAACCTCGGAGAAGAAGAGGGTCCTTTTAGCAATCCCTACGGTATTCGTCATTCGAGGGTCCGCTTTCTCATGCGATGTTCTCTTTTCCTCGTGCTCGACTGTATTGTATCATCCTCCCCCCCCCTTCTTGCTGCCATCGGAGCGATCGCTTTTCGCCTGCTTCGTGAGCGTAGTCTCAGGAGGTCGCTAGCAGTCTCGGGGGTTCCCTGGAGGTCTCTGGACGCCTCAAGAAGGGCCCAACCTTCAAAAGCTTGATCCTCGATTGTCGTCGTCGTCGTCGTCGTCGTCGCAGTCGTCGTCGCCGCCGTCGGCGGCGGCCCGCGGCGTCGTCGTTGTCGTCGTCGGCGGCGGCGGCGGCGGTGTAGTCGGCGTCGTCGTCTGCGGCGTCGGCGTCCGCAGCGTCGGCGGCGTGGTCGGCGTCGTCGTTGGCGGCGTTCTCGGCGGCGCTTTCGCTCGGTGCGCGCCGCAGCTCAATCGTCGGCTGGCCGCAGGCGATGCGCAAGCTGGGGATCACGGTGGCGGACTTGCGAGGTGCGGGCGACTGCTGGCGGTTGGCAAGGGGGGGGCGAGGGGGGAGGAGGCGGAGGAGGAGGATGACGGAAGGATGAGGGATGGATGAGGAGGGCGAGGATGAGGATGAGGATGAGGATGAGGGTGATGAGGGTGAGGATGAGGAGGATCAGGAGGAGAAGGAGAAGGAGATGGAGATGGAGGAGGCGGAAGAGGGGGGGGGAGAAGGATGATGATGATGGTGATGATGCTGCTTCTGATGATGCTGATGTTGAGGTTGATGTGATGATGATGATGATGATGATGATGATGATGATGATGATGATGATGATGATGATGGTGGTGAGCATGGTGATTATGCTGCTGCTGATGATGGTGATGATGATGTTGTTGATGTTGGTGGTGTTGTTGTTGCTGTTGCTGTTGGTGTTGTTGCTGTTGTTGGTGTTGTTGTTGTTGTTGTTGTTGTTGTTGGGGTTGTTGTGTTTTCAGGGATGGCGTGGTTGTTGCTGCTGTTTTTGTTGTTGCTGCTATTGTCGCTGTTGATGAGGAGGCTGATGATGATGGCGGTGGTGGTGTTGATGATCTTGATGATGACGACGATGGTGGTGATGCTTATGGTGATGAGGATGGTGATGCTGATGATGGTGATGGCAACCACGAGAGAAAGAGGAATAGCATGTCGACGAAGTAGGAGGAGGCCACATCAGGAATAAGACGACGACCGATGACGACGACGAGGAGGGTGAGGAGGATGAGAAAGAGGAAGATGATAAGGAATAATGGAAAGAGGGTAGCGGGGACACATAGGAGGATAAAGGATGAGACGTCAGATGAGGATATGGGCAGAGGAGTAGAAGAGGAATGGAGTAGAAGGGGGATAAGAAGAATTCTGATGATGATGTTGATGCTGATGCTGCTGATGATGATGCTGCTGATGATGATGCTGATGATGATGCTGATGATGATGATACTGATGCTGATGCTGACGATGAGGATGATGACGACGATGCTGTTACCCATGCTGCTGCTCATGCTGATGATGCCGATGATGCTGCTGATGCTGATGCTGATGATGACGACGATGATGATGATGATGACCAGGATGATGAGGATGACGATGATGATGCTGCTGTTGATGCTGATGATGCTGAGGCTGATGATGATGCTGATGATGGTGATGAGGATGATGATTCTGATGCTGCTGATGATGATGTTAACGGTGATGGTGATGATGATGATGATGATGATGTTGATGATGATGGTGATGATGATGATGATGATGATGATTCTGATGATGATGATGATGATGACGATGATGATGCTGATGACGCTGCTGCTGTTGATGATGATGCTGGTGATGGTGATGATGCTGATGCTATTGGTGATGATGCTGATGATGCTGATGATGATGCTGCTGCTGATCATGATGACGATGATGACGATGCTGATGACGATGATGACGATGATGATGATGCTGATGATGATGATGAGGAGGATGATTATGATGCTGCTGATGATGATGATGATGATGATGAGGATTCTGATGCTGCTGATGATGATATTAACGGTGATGATGATGATGATGATGATGATGATGATGATGATGATGATGATGATGATGATGCTGATGCTGATGCTGATGATGATGATGCTGATGATGAGGATGCTGATGATGATGATGATGATGATGATGATGATGATGATGATGATGGTGATGATGGTGATGATGAGGAGGAGGCATCGTATTAGGAGATAGGAGAGGATCAAGAAGAGGGAATCGAGGAGAGGGAGGAGCGAAAGGATACGGAAGAAGGGGGAGGCGACGGAAGAGGAGCACGAGGAAAAGAAGGGTATGACGAGGGATCAGGAAGAGGAGGATGGCGAGCAGGGCAGACACAATTAGCGAGTATAGGAAAGAGAGTGGGATGGGAACCTCGAATTTTACAGCTCGCGAGTGTGCAGAGAGACTCACCGCTCCTTCCCCTGTTCATCCACCGTCCTCTTCTTCTCGTTTTCGCCTTCGTCCCGTCTCCCTCCCCCCCTCCTGCCTATCCCTCCGCCTCTTCCCCCTCTGCTCCTCCCTCCTTCCCTCCCTCCCTCCCTTCTTCTTCTCCCCCTTCCCCGCCTCCTCGTCCTTCTCTTTGCTCCTTGCTCCCTCATCTCTCCCTCTTTGTCCTCCTCCTCATCCTTATTTCTTCCGTCACGACTACTCGATCTGAATGCTGTTCTCCTCTCTCCCCCGAAGATGGCCACTAAGTCGCCCGCCCCCCTCCGCGTATTGGCTATTGTACACAGGATTTCACGGTTGGTCTTTCCTGCGAGTCTTTCCAATCGGAACGTGTCCGGTGCTTCGCAATGGTGCTCCCGCTGCAGTTTTGGACCCCATTTTAGGATCGGCACTTTGCTCCCATCGTTCAAATTGGCGCTCTCGGCCCTGCGCGGGCCACTTTTCTGGATCCGAGTGCTTCCTCATCGTTGTCGCCCCGCTCCTTTCCCCTCCCCCGCCTTCCCCTGGAC